AGTCATCATTATTTTAATTTTCGTGTTTTAATCTTTAAGTTGCAGGTTTCTGAGCAGATGGTCACTTTTTCATCATGTGAATGCCCAGTGGGCCAGGACAGATGTCACCACATGGCAGCGCTCCTCCTATGGATTCAAAAGAATGTTTCAAGAACTGATCTTGAGTGCAAGTGGTCCCGCCCCAAACCCTGCAAATCCCAAGAAACCCCAATGAAGAGACTTTCACAGCTGACTCCAAGTACAAGTACAGGTAATTTAGGAGTACAGGGATTCTTTGTGTGTGGGGTGTCATGGCCGAGCTGTCTAGTACACCCGACTCATGTTCTGGTGGCTGAGTCATCAGAATGTGGGTTCGAATCCCGGCCAGGCCAGCTGTGAAGTTTGTGTCCTTGAGCAAGACCCTTTACCCTAAGTTGTTCATCTTCGCCCATGTGTATAAATGGGAACCTGCAAGGGCCAAGATGGCATGGTGTTTGATTAATCCCTTAGCGCTCAGTAGCAGTTTGAGGTTGTATGCTCCCCAGGGAGTTGAGAAAGTTTCAGGAAGGATTAAGTGTGCCCAATGATCAGGGTTTTAAAATGCGCCTATTGTAAGCGCTGTGATTTATTAAAGCGACTTTAAATGTTGATTGTACCACAAACCTGTGCCTGCCAACACACAACGGTACACACCGTTTCCCCAACCCCCTGATGATGTGGCATTAAACTCTGTTGTAGAGATAGTGGATGAAATTTCTTACAAGTAATTTTTAATTTTTTGATTTTTCAGCTGGAATAAAAAGACTTGTGGAAGAGGAGGATAGGGAGTGGCTATGACAGAGAGTTTCCTTGCTAGGAAGATTCACTGGGATTGGGTGGATCCTTTCCAAAGAACCTGAAGTGGTAAGATTGTGGTCAATAATTAACCTCATTAATTTCACTGGTAGTTTTAAAAGTAAAAGAGTATTTAAACAAAAATTAAATATTGTAATCATGCACAATGACCAACTAGAGTGCATGCACTAAAATAAAGACAATTTTAAAATGTTGTTCCATTTGGGTGTAATGCTTCCCTAACTGTGTGAAATCAATGGCAGCATTGTTCAAACTATCACCTTTGCCGCATGTCAGTATATTTTCTTCAGGGTTGGTTTGTGGGTTCTCCACCCAATCAACATCACATTCTGGACTTAAATTTTCACTAACAGACTTTTATGCAACTATTTCAATAGGTCAAACAAGTAAAAAGCTATGCTTTTATAACAAGCACACCTGAATGTGAACATGCCCCGGACAAAGTAGAGTATGTAGTAGAACACATGGCTGTTTCTGAAGAGGATGTCAAGGTGATTGAAAGGACTACTGTTGGTCAACGTCATAATGCTTTGTGGTAAGCATTTTATAGTTGTTGTTTCACTTTTCAAACAGATATTTCATTAGTAAACAAATTAAATGCTACTTTTACTGAGGACAATACAGTTTTGTATTCCTATGTAAAGTAAAGTGACTATTTACTTTATAAATCTGGATTGCAAGCACAAGAGATCTGAAGTGTAGTTTTTAAGAGTGATGTCTTTGGGCATGCAAGTAAAAAAAACCAGACATATTTAATTGTTATTTTCATTTCTTGATGTGTAGATTTGCGTATAAACAAAATCGACTGACATCCAGCAACTTTGGTGCAGTTCTTGGTGCTGTGAGGAGAAACTCCACTCCACCATCCTTGTTAAAGACACTCAGAGGCGAATATGGGTCTGCAGGACGATCTTCAGTGAGTAACTGATACTGTTTTATGTACACACTATTTGTTTTTATTAAGTTGGTATTTCAGCAAAATAAAAGAATACATGTATATACAGTGATGGTTATTATTGACTGAGTTGGTGGCTGGCCGCAGTTAATGAAAATTCACCTTTGGCTTAGTCCATAAACAGCGGCTAGCCCTTCAGCAGCGTAGCCAGGACTTTTTTGGTAAGTGGGCACAGGTGGGGGTGGGGGGGGGGGCTAGCTTTCAGTGGGAGGGCCAGCAGGGGAAAATCATGACATTAGCTCTGATTTAAGCCTCCCCTTTTTCAGTTAATTACACTTTTTGGGAAGAAACACTGTTAGGATTTTTGGCTACGCCGCTGTAGCCCTTAACCCAGTCATCTGACAGTTTAGAACGATTCCTCACACTGTTATTCTATAATTACTTCTGTTGATTACAGGCTATTCAGTGGGGAGTGAATCATGAGGACATAGCTTTGGAGAAGTATTCAGCACTCAGCGGATGTGATTTTCAGCCAACAGGCCTGTTTATCATGGATAATGGACAACTAGGGGCATCTCCTGATGGTCAAGTCAGCAAGGACTTAATTGTGGAAGTTAAGTGTCCGTGGAGTGCAAGGGCTACACCTTTGATTGAGTTGGCAATGAAGAAAGATTTCTTTTTGTTTAATGACCCAACTGCAGCCCCTGGTATGCTGAAGCTAAAACAGACTCATAAATATTGGCACCAAGTACAAGGTGCTCTCCACATAACTGGCGCAACAGCTTGTGACTTTTTTTGTGTGGACACCAACGGAGTACCATTGTATCAGGATCAAAAAAGATCCAAAATGGGCTTCAAATATTCCAATTCTCACACAGTTTCATCGAAAGATTCTTCTTCCAACTGTCTTAGGAAGTTGAATAAATAAGTGCTTAAATGTTACATTTCATTTTGTCTTGCCAGAATCATAGAGGATCACAGTTTTGACGGGACAGGTACTAATTGTTTTGTCTGATGTACCTCATATGTGGAAGTCTCACTTTAAAAACATGGTAGAGGATTTGTGATTATCATCAAAGAAAAAAAAAAGAATCTTAAATTGGTATAGTTCCTTTCTCATAAATCAATCTTTACAATCGCCACTTGTTACGATAATTACGGTGCCAGGAGTGTCATGTATGACAGACATGGCGCGTTATAAATTTCCATTATTATTGCCTGTATTACTGGTACCATATGTCCTAAAAAATATTTCTGACTGAAATGCTGTGTCATCTTTGAGGAAATTGCACTTGATTTGATGAGAGTGGCTCTTGCAAACTACTCTTTAATACATTGTAACATGTACAAAATCCATTACAAAACATGTTGTTATCTGGCACTGTTTTCTGACAATCCAAGGCTGTACCATCCCTTTAACAAAGTTTAAATTGTGACCTATTTCTTTTTAAATTGGTCGAGTTGAATAATCAGACTTTTACACTGTAAATTTGTGAGCAAGTGTATGGAATTCATTATATTCGGCCGATATACTGTGGTCCTGCTGTATCATCTTTCTCACGAAATCACGTGATCAGCCTTTGTAGTGGATATTGGGTCAAAGTTCTCTACTTAAATGTTGGTGTTTACAGAAAACTATCCCTCTGTAATGTATTCATTTATTATTATTATTACAATAATTATTATATCTTTCTGGAAATGAAACCAAGGAATCCTCAAAGTAATTATAGCAATGTAGCCCATAGCCTGAAGAAACCTGTGTGAAGAGAAGACGACAAAGAAATGTTCAGTTTTAGATGTGGGAGGAAAACCCCAGATGGTGAAAACCCATGAAATCAAAACTCAATCCACATGTATGGCCTCGGTCCAAAGTGGAATAGACCCATGTATTGAAGACGTCACGGTTTGTTTACTGCATTGCTTAAGTGCTGTACCTGGGTACCGTATTTCCGACAGTTGTGCAGCTACACAATGGTTTCCCATTCTTCTGCAACGATGTAAACAAGCCCTGACATCATCAGTACATGGGTCTTTTGAACCAGGGTCCTCATAGGTGAAAGGCAGGGAAGATACCGCTACGCCAACCTGATCCCCAATTTTTGTATTTAGTCTTGCCCTAACTGATACGCAGAGGGTTATGTAAACATAATACAAAAATCAACACGATGAAAATATGTTTTAAACAAATAACTTAATTTAATTGAAAATAAAGATTCCAATAATTAACAATTGATAATTTCTATTTTAGGAACTTTTTTCATATTTATATTCTTAATTATATACATGTATATTAATATATTATCTTAAACTAATATTCTATTTATAATTTATATTAAATAGACTCCTCAGTGATGAGCTATAATTGTTTTTCTTCCCAGTTTACTGTATACAGGGTGGTGCAAAAAGAAGGAAACCCACTTTGGACAGCACAATATTCAATTTAATGGTATTAAAATTTACTTTAACCATGCATGGTAAAAAAAAAAGTTTTAAATTGCAAGAACAGTGTTGTTATGCTTACAATTGGATACCAGTCACCAAAATCACTGTTGTCTCAAATCAAGCTCTGGAGCTCAATCAAGCGGGTTTGCCACATAAACAAATTTTAAACTACCGTAATCTCAGAGACAAAATATGCATTTTCAATCATTTTTTTCATGACTTATGTTTAAAGATCAATATTTTAATAGCATTAAATTGTGTTTTTGAAATATACTCAACAAGTAGGTGAAAATGGCTGTCAAAAGTGAGTTTCCCTCTTTTTGCAACCACCGTCTATCATAAAATTAAGACATTCATAACTTGAATCCTTCATTCTGACTGGTCTCTTCAGTGTATGAAAATTAGTTGACATCCCTTATTGGTTACTTTTATTGGAAAGTGCACTTATTTAAACGTTTCAAATTGCCCTTGCTTTTCCAGACAACTGAGGGCACTGTTTGCCGTAGTGTCATGTCAGAACCCCAAAATTTGCTCATTGAAAACATTTGTGAGAAAAGTTTGCTCATTGGCTTACTGCCATAAACTGACACAACAAATCATTAAAAAAAAAAAAGTTTACAACAGCGAAATGTCCAAAAATCTGGCAATTTTTTGTGCACAAACCATTGTAACATTGAGGCTTCTTCCTGGCATGACATCACACTTTTGGTCATGAATATGGAAATTCTCATAAGCCTAAAAACAAAAAAAAAAGCCCCAAAATACCCTTGAAAAATGGCAAGTTGAAAAATAAATAAAAGGCTAAATGGAACAAAAAGGTGAATTTTTAAGAATTGCAGTTAAGAAAATTTAAGTTTCAGGTGTCCTTTAAAAGAGGCATCATCGTTAATTTCTCTATTCTTCAATTTCACGAAGGATAAGTGTTTGAAAGTTAGTAAGACAAACACAACATTTGAATATTTTATCAGCTTGGCTCTTGAACTGATACGGAATATGGTCCAAAATTGCGAAAATTTTGACCCTCTGAATTGCCCTTTCAACGTGGATGCGGGCACATGCAATGAGTTTGTTATTGTGTGCCTCTGTTTTGGTGAACTGGCCATTTAGGAGAAGTGATGGAAAATTCAGTGACACGCCTTAAGGAAGAATGTCGTGAATCAGAAAACCTTTATCTGCCAAGATCATGTCTCCTTCTTCAAGCTGGTCCAGAATACCACAATCTAAGGTTATTGCCTTGTCTGACACACTCCCTCCATATAGATTACTAGCAAAAGTGATTACACCATTGGGTGCAACCCCTATCAAAGACTTCAAAGTGGTTCTACCTTTGTAGTTACTGTATAGGCTACACTGTGCATCTAGTTGTTCAGTATTGTCTACTGATATTTCCGTACAATCGAGCACAATTCGACAATTGGGAAACTTACTAAAGCACGAAGGCATAGACATTGCATTTTTGGATCTTGATGGAATGTTATTTTCCATCATGCCAACATACAAGATATTGTACAATGCACTGATGATAGTGTTAAACACATTACTTACAGTTGGCCTACTGCAGTTAAATCTAGTAGCTATATCTTCATGCCCAATGTTTAATCTCAGTTTCGTCAATGTTATGAACAACTGATCTAGAAGCGAACATTTTTCAACAACCCAGTTGCTGTAATATTTCAATGAAAACCTTTCAAGAAGGTCACATAAAAGCCTTACTGTTGCAGCATCTGGTAAGCCTGTGTAATACCTAACCTTGACTTGACTCTTTTCAATGTCAGAAAAAGAAAATCTTTGCCTCTTCAAGTTTAGTTCTTTGGTAAGGTTTTCATTCTCCTGTTTCAAGATTTCATACTCTACTTGTAACAAAACAACACTGGTATTTTGAAATCCTGTTTGGTCTTCGTCCTCCTGTTTATTAAGAGCTGTATCTGCTAGCAGCAGAAGTGGATTGTCTAGATTTTCTGGTGCTGCAGTAGGCTGTGTGCTTTGTTTACCTCTTTTATAAACTCTTGTTTTCCTTTGGAACAAAAAAAAACAATAATAATGAAAACAATTAAATTAAACAAATTTGAAAGTTTTAACCATTTCTTTCATGAAAATGTTATTTATTAATTGGGAAAACAGTGTGTGAACCTCGTCGCCAGCAGCCAGCATCCAACCATTCAGTGAAAGCTGGGTCTTCACACTCAAATTGTTCCCTAAATAAACAAACAACACTTTCAGACAAAAATCCTTGCTCATGTATAAATTTGTTCTTAGAAACAAAACAAAAAATCTTTTCTAGATTCATGAAAATAGAACTAGCGATCTGGTAATCATAATACAAACATTTCACATCATCTTGATAATTTCTTGTCCCCAACAACACACTAACACAACCTTCATGATGTTCTTAACAATGAAATAAACTAGAGGGACCAGTTGAAACAAAGTTTGTGCCTCTAAATGGTGCTTTCATACATTTATGTCTTACCGTTTCTCTGGACTTGGAAAGTTGAAATATTTTCCTTCATTCCATGGGAATCGAACCGGCCCAACACCTTTTCCATGCAGAAAATGCCAGCTGCAAACCCTTGACCATCCTCTTGGAATGAAGTCTTCTTGCCTAAAGATATGAATTGAATTTAAAAGTGACCATTAATAACAAAACCAACCCATAAAGAAGCTGATGTGACCTGTTTTCACAAAATGAGAGTGAAGTAGCAAAACATTATAGATAGTTCCCACTTTACGTCAGGAAATTTTATGTAAGCCATCTTTACGGGCAATGAAAAAATAATATCTTTTGAACTCACAATTATGCGTTACACGTTCGTCCCTGAGTGTACTCAGATCGGCTGCACAGAAATATTGTAACTTTGCAGCACAATACCAAGTTGCTGGCAAAGATGGCAGCTATTGGGAACTATCCATTAGCAGGTATGGGCGAAAAAACAAAGTGTGACTTTCTCAAACCTAAGCAGATTTTAGTGCTATTTGCATCCCTAAATGCTGGCTACCATTGGAATGATCTTTTTCTACTGAATTCAGAAACGCTTCGACCTCAGTTTTGCGACAAGCCATTTTTACACTCATTTTGTGGGGGCAGGTCACATCATTGTCCATTTAGAAAGTTATTTTTCATACTAATAAAATGGAGTTGACTTAAGGACTTGGACATTAACACTGAAGTTTATGACAGAGGTACAAGATGACTTGTGTATGTGCTGGCACTCTCAAATCAACCCTATTCTTACATAACAAAGAAGCAATGCAATTCAGACAAGCGAAGGTTGTTTCTTGAGACGATCACATGAGACAGTTTCTTAAAAGAATTGTACCATTTAAACATGCATAGGCCTACAATACCACAAAACTGACTTTTAGTAGACCAATGTGCACATTGCATCCCTCCACTGAGCAATGACAATGCTTTCATTTTTGTTTCAATGAGCAAGTTGGTAGAGGTCCATTAATAGTAGCCAGCCTCAACCTGGTCATCATTACGCTAGGCCTACATCACTAAAAAAAAACATGTGATACCTTATTGCTTTGAGCCACTTCTTTCTCCGTTTTACATCTTCTGGAAACCGGAAAAATGACAAATCTGGGTGGGTTTCTAAGCGTCTTTTACATCCCAGCACACAGCATTGTGGCATTTCCCATTCAGCAGGTTTGCCTCAATAAATGAAAGTTTTAAGAAACTTATTTAACAAATGTATATTCCATAGATTCTAGGATTTAGTTGTTTTATGAAGAACACTATGACAAATTACTTCATTCATGGAGGAAGAAAACCTAATAAGAAATGTTTTCATTCAAAGTGCTTTCATTAATCTAGACATTTAATATTGTTTTTATGTTGTATACCATGAATTGTACAATCAATTGTTCTATACGCCTTGTAGCGTGTGTGTGTGTGTGTTAATCCAATCCAATGATGATCCATAGTAAAACATGTAGTATTAAGGTACGTCAAATATACTTTGTACATTTTTTTTAATGATAGATATGCCTATCAGGTGAAAAGACACCCCTTTAAACAAATCAAATCAAGGCCTGCCCTAGACCTGGGCCGGGCCTCACTTTTGGAATTTTTTTTCACAAAAATCATAAATTAAACTGAATATAAAACTACGACGTTCAATCAAAAAGTTTGATCTAAACTAATCACATGTCATACTAACTACCATGGATGTAGAAAAATAGACTAGGTCTATGGTGCAGCGAGGTCAGTTTTGGGACACTTGCATTCCAATCCATAGTTTTCCGGAGAAATGCCAACTTAAAAAACAACCAGTGAAAATGTCATGGAAACATTGAATAACGGTTCAAACTCAAGGCTTGTGGACTGGTGGTGTTTTTCAATGTTACAACTTACAATACAAGTCGGGTCTCTCTCATTTATAAAATCGAGTTCAAACACGATTTTATAAAAAATGAGAGCTTTTCATACTGAAATATATTTCTGAAGACGACTGGTGGCAGTTCAAAATCGATAACAAAACAAAACAAACAAACAAACAAACATCGGTCGTCGCTACTTGACTGCGCAAGCGAACACCTTGTTTGTACACATACTGTACGTGTATTACGACCACAACTTCACACAGAAAGTCTATACGTTAGCAAGCAGACGATAAGTTGCACTGATTTACCGCACTCGTTCAATATTTGGTACATTTTTACCACTTCAATAACTTCAAAACGAAATTACAGTATATCTTCAGCCTACAGAGATTTAAGCATGGGGAGTTTATCTGCATTTCTACATGTTCTGAGTGCATAACAGATAAGTACTATAGAAATTTTTACCTTTTTATTGAGCGTTGCCAGTCGGAGCCACACAAAAATATATCGCTTTACACGTAAATTGTAGCAATCGTTTTCGTGACTCGCTTGCAGTTGGAGCCGGAAGTGCACTATGAACCATGTGACGTCACACTTACCAACAGGATAGATAGAGAATACGCGCGGCCTTGCATGGAGGGTCACGTGCTGGAGGAAAGATTCAAATTGTGCGCTAGACGTGACGAACGCAACGCCGTTGACGCGCACAACACGAGTTTATGGTTACTGTACTTGAGACCTTCAATGCTAATAAAAACACAAGATCATACATGTAGATAAGATAACACCGTTCCCATAATGTTGAAACACAGTCTACTCATGTTGTTTATTTCAATCAGTATCTCTTGAACATGAATGCTTATGATTATGACTAGGGCCTACTTAGCTTTGGTTGTCTTAAAACAGGTTTATTTTGCAGAAAATAAACTGGTTATCCCATAGCCGAAATGAAAAGCGGCAAACCAACGCGTAAGCGTGCGTGTACGCATCGCGTAGATACTCGGTGCGCATTTCTAGCTTCGCGCGCGTTGAGCTTGGTCACGTGCTGGAGGAAAGATACATTTAGCTCCATTACTCTACGTTGATTTGTTGCACGTCCACGAGAGACAACACAAATGGCGGGGATTTATCGCACAGTGAATGGGCACGTGTGGACGCGTTGCCGATCTTGTCTTTTTATTCTATATCTATGGTTCACGGGCTGAATCACGCGCTTATATGTCTGTCACACACATTTTGTGTGCGTGACGTATTCACTTTGGTACTCCAAAATTTCTTCGGATCGGTGCTTGATATCGCATAGTTGCAATCGGCTCAGTGAGAACGTGTATCGGACGCTGAATTCAGGCCCAATTCAAAACAGATTCAGCAACTTTTGAGTTGAAATCGAGATCCTAGAATGCTGTTTTTCTCTGAATATACAGCTGAAGCTGAGCTGAAACTTCCTCAGGTTAGTTGTTCAAAACACTTCTTTAGATTTTGAGCATTTGTGTTGCTTCAAACGGGCAAAATGCAGATATTACAAATGATGGACTATACCTTTAAGCGGCATGTTAAATCCTTACGACCTTTTGCGGGGAACAAAACGGCTTTGCGTACTCCTTGAGTGGGACGTAGCGCTCTTCGATCATTTTTTTGTTACATTAGAATTACAAAATAATGTACACCTTTACGACCTTTTGACGGGCACAAATACTGAAAACCCTCCTGACGACCTTTGTTTAATTTGATATTTCCAAGCTCTATCGTTTAGCCGAAGAAGCAGAGTTTGAGATTTTGACCAATTTTTTGCCCTTACCAGCCATGTGGTTGGCAAGGGCGATTTCTAAAGGTTACGTAACACTTTATTTTGAATGAAACTACATGTACACGCACATGTTCACGTTGGTTGGCGAAATCTTTGAAAATTAATTTCTTCCGTTTGGAAGACCGTTTCTTCATGCAACCTTCAGGGTTGATTTCCCTTATAATGATCCAATTATGTACTAAAAATCGTTGCGATATTTTACTTTTTGTTGAAATTGAAAAAATAGGCCTGGCTACGTGCATATTTGAAAGTTGTAACAGTGGCGTTAGCAATGTCTGTCAATCTTTTCAAGCCTCATAAATGTTCCTATTTATTATGGTGTGCAGTAACTATTTGAGTAAAAGCCTCCTTCACGAGTTATTAATTGATAAATATCACCCTTTTTGCAGGCTTCTATTGGTCGACACCGAGACCCACGCCAAGTCACGCCGAGTGACGCTATTGAACATGCTAATATGCGATTGTCCACTGTGTGGCCGGGCCGAAATCGGTCAACCGTATACTGTGCTATAGGAAAACTATACACGTGGGTTTGGTAGCTAAAATTCGTAGCCGAAATTTTCCTTAGAGATGATTCAATATGTAACACAAGCGTTAGCAAAAACAGATTAAGCTGAAATTCAAAAATATACTTAGATGATATGCGTGTTCAACTACTCGTGAAATAACAACTTCCGTAAATTCCTAGAAACTGATATAAATACATAGATTTGGGGAAGTTTTCGAACAATTTCTTTCAGATTTGAAGGTCAGCTTTACCAGTATAAACCAGTATTGACGTTTCGGCATCGATGACGGCGATTTTTTCACTGACATGAAGTTTAGAATTTCTTCTTCCGTTATATTTTAACATTTCAATATACTGAGCATATTTTTTGAGAAACACAACGTTCCAAAGGCCATGTTTTTGAGGGTGCATGAATTTCACTGCTCTGTTATAGCGTCTAAGTATGTAATCGGATTAGCTTTGCCTATAACGGCATGACGTAACTATTTGGCTGTTACGACCTTCTTGCATGCACCCAACGACACTGTAGTTTGCGTCTGTCTGGGACGTGGCATTCACAGATAAAATGTTTCCATATGTCTGCGTTGCAGTGTGGGTCTTGTTTGCGTTTCACTTTGCATTTATTACGTCGAGTAAGCGTAGCGCATCCGTCCAAATCGCGCCTTAGAGCGATTCCGACGGACTGATTCCTTTGAATATACTTGTAGGTATTGCGTCTTCCAACAGGCATTCAATTCCTTTTGTACGCAAACAGAGAAGCCGAAACGGCCTGATTGAGTTATTTGCAAAGAACAACACATCGATTAATAATAATTAACGTAATGAATAAAATACAAATAACAGTAATTAAAACATATATTAAATGACCTGCGGTTCGCGCCAAAATTAAGCCGGGATCCATGCACCTTTTTAGAAAAGATCACTTTTAAACAGACCATGTGTAATTGTGGTAAATTAACAACAAAAGAAATGAATGCTTCTATGATTTCCTCAACAACATCCAACGCCAAAACGATATTCTGAGAACCTTCAAAATCTCGAACATTTATAGTCTTGCTTTTACTTTCAAAATCACATCAAACTATAATACAATCAATAAAAATGCCAAACAAGAGTTTACAATGAGGAATGTAATGGGCCGTGCAGTCTTTAAGTATGTGATAGAATAATATAAACTACATTTGATTTACAATGAATGATCATAGAAGATAACTTCACAATGAAACACAAGTACCTTTGAAGTGCAAAGACAAAACTGTATGATCGAGTCTTCGGCAAAGAACGATAATTATGAAGAGAGGGTGAAGCGTTCGAAATACAGTGCAAACACAGAGAGGGAGCTCTTTGTATATTAAAAGTAAATACAAACAGAACTAATTACATAATCGGATTGCCTTTAAATTGTACTTGTGTTTCACAATGAAACACAAGTACCTTTGAAGTGCAAAGACAAAACTGTATGATCGAGTTTTCGGCAAAGAACGATAATTATGAAGAGAGGGTGAAGCGTTCGAAATATAGTGCAAACACAGAGAGGGAGCTCTGTCTATATTAAAAGTAAATAAAAACAGAACAATTACATAATCGGATTGCCTTTTAAAAAAAAATAGGAAAATTAGCGTACATTTTGCATGACCGTCAGAGGTGGAATTAAAAAGCGAGTAAACATGTAATATAAATTACCAGCATTTCAAGGAATTATAAGTTTTAATGTAAGCGTTGTTTACCAACATGTCTTTATGGTGTAAATCTGCAGGCAAAGATTCTACTGTGCCCGTTTTCTGTAAATCGTTCACAATCGAATCAAATCTAAAGAGCAGGGACAATATCACTTCCCGAATTTGCTGCGGAAGTTAGAGCGTGAATCAGACGTGGATCACCATACTAGTTACAGAGTAGATGTCATGTGTGGAGCTCCAGTACGTACAATTAATGATGGCGGCTGTTTAGATTGTCGAGTATAAGTGGTACTTGTGCTTCCACTAAGTGGGTCTAATGAACCAGTACGGGAGCT